GGCTGCTCCTCTTTCGATCCAGCTCTCTGCTATGGCCTGGGAAACCAGTAGAAGATGGCCCAAGTGCTAGAGCCCCTGCACCCATGTGGGAGACCCGGAAGAAGCTCCTGGCTCCTGGCCTTGGATCAGCACAGCTCCGGCCACTGTGGCCATCTGGGGAGTGAACCAGCAGATGGAAAGACCTCTCCCTCTCTCCCTCTCTCTGTCTATAACTCTACCTCTCAAATAAATAAATAAAAATTGAAAGGGAGGGAGGGAGGGAAGGAGGGGGGGGAGGGAGGGAGGAAAAGAAAACAGTGGGGCCTAACAGGAGGTGTTGGGTCTGGAAGGCCCCAGCCTGAGCCTGAGTCGTCGCTCCCTCACTCCTGTCCTCTTGTGCCCTCCATCACGGGATGAGCAGCAAGAAGGCGCTCACCAGACAGCAGCCCCTTCAGCTCAGATCCCAGCCTCCAGAGGCATCGGCCACTACACTTCTGTCCATTTTTTTTTTTTTTAAGATTTATTTATTTATTTGAAAGGCAGATTACAGAGAGGTGGAGGCAGAGAGAGAGGGGGAGAGAGAGGTTTTCCATCCACTGGTTCACTCCCCAAAAGGTCACAATGGCCAGAGCTGAGCTGATCTGAAGCCAGAGCTTTTTTCCACATGGGTGCAGGGGCCCAAGCACCTGGGCCATCTTCTACTGCTTTCCCAGGCCACAGCAGAAAGCTGGATTGGAAGTGGAGCAGCCGGGTCTCCAACCGGTGCCCATATGGGATGCCGGCACTGCAGGCAGTGGCTTTACCCGCTACACCACAGCACCAGCCCCACTTCTGTCCATTACAAATTACCCAATCTCTGTGGCAGCACAGAACAGACTGAGACAATCGCGGTATGAGCCGAGGCCTTGACCGTGGGGTGGACAGGGGCGTCACTCCCCAGCAGCACTCCTGGCACAGCTGGGGACACCCCCAAGAGACTGATGTGCTGGCCAGGAAAAGGACCTGCCTGGGCCAGGGAGCGGTCATCTGAGGAGGGTGGAGGGTGGGGGCCAGGTCTGCAGGCCGGGGCCTCCTCCCGAGGCTTGCTGTCACCCCTGGCCGGGGACCACCACACCACTTCCCAGCAAACTGAGAACAAAACCTTGGTTGGGTCTCTGAAGGCCCACACGTCAAGAGCCCTTGGCCCAGAGCCACCAGCCAAGGACACCTGAGGTAGGGACAGTACAGGGCTGGGTCACGAGCTGCTGGACCACTGAGCAGAGGAGAAAAGAGAAAAGCAACAAAGACGCCCGGGGCTCCGCCAGGCAGCCTGGGAGGCTGGCAGACAGGGTCCACATTGCATCCCAGAATCGGCCCCTGTGGAACGCGAGCAGATGGCCTGGAACTGCAGCCTGGGGCCTGGGGTCCAGCCGGGCCAGACTCCAGAGGGCCTGTGTGGTGGAGGACGCACCCTGCCTCTCCAAGGAGCTAGCCTGACTGTGGCCACGATGGGAGAGCAGCGGCGGGGTTGCGGGGGGTACTGGCTCAGGCAGCAGGACATCGGGCCCCCCAAGGGCCTGCGCTGGCCCACGGAGAAGCAGGAAGAAACCAGGGAGAGGACTAAGAACCAAGCGAAGGTCCTGCAGCACAGGAAACAGCACACAAGGGCCCAGCCACGGTGGGGCTGGTGGGGTGTGGAGGGCAGTGCCAAGGGAGGGAGAAGTGGACTCCAAGGTCAGCCTTGAAGGACACACAGCAAGCTGCAGATTGGCCTGACGGGAGTGCTCCCAGCTGCCGGGCAGCACCACGGGCAGCAGGAGGGTCACGGGCTCTGTCCTGGTCATCTGTGTGGCCCTTCCCTCTCTGGCCTCAAGGCTCTCTTAAAATAGCAGCCTATGAGCCGTGGCCAGCTCTGATACCTGGAGATATTATATCCACCTGGGTCCTTGATGTCACTGGCTTCTAGGACAAGGCAGCACCCGGATGGTCCCCGGACCAGCCCGCACTTACCAGGCTAGAACTCCACGCACCGTGCTCCCTGGAGTTCAAATGCCCACTGGGGCAGCAGTATGGAGAGTGGAGCTGGCACAGGGGTTTGGAGGGAATTTAAAAATGCTTCTCATTGGCCAAACGGTCCCCCAGGCACTGAGATTCCCACCTCCTCATAGACGAGGAAACTGAGCCCTGGGCAGGGCTGGGACCCAGGGCAAGTCCCCCAGGAGGCAATGGCACTCATCCTGCATGCCCTCGGGCTGCACCTGCCAACGGGGTCAGAAGGAGAATGTCGTCTGGGGCCAGGACCCGGGAGGTCAGAAGCCGAGCAGGGGTTGGGAAGAGGGCAGGCGAGGAGACAGGCGAGGCGTGGGGTGTGTTTCACTGGCTCCCTTTAACACGGTCCCCTCTAGGCTGGGCCCTGCCCCTGGGGCTGGCAGCCAGTGAGAAAGTCAGAAAAACACCCAGGAAGCCCTGCTCCCCAGCTGCCTGAGCCAGGGCCCGGACAGGGGCTACACAGTTTGGAGGGTGTGGGGATTCCCTGTGGCCTACCTGGGGAAGCTCAAGGAAGTATCCTAGAGCCTTGAAAAGAGAGCTGGGGCCTGGGCCTCTCCAGCAGGGGGAACAACCTAGCCAGAGGCCCCGCGGCAGGAAGGGTGTGCCTGAGCAGAGTTCGGGGCACACGGGGCAGAAAGGCGGGGCAGGTGACAGGGGCCAGGGCAGTTCCGACAGCCAGGTGGGGATACAGAGCCTGCCCGGGCCCCTCACAGGGCTCCTGAAGGGCAGGGGGCTGGCCCAAGTTGCTGAGCCCTTGATCCCCAGTGCACAGGATCCACAAGCCGCTTCCTCCAAGAGCAGACCCTCACCCAACCCTGCTCCCCCCATGAAGGCAACCCGCTTAGGGCTCCTGGAGGGGCCCTGGGTCCTGCGCACTGACCCGGGCCCCAGGGCAGGGCCAGGTTGGCAGGGTCTCTTCCACAGTCTGCCTTCTCTCTCCCCTACTGACCTCCGACACCGTCACGTGGTGGGGTAGGGAGGCCAGGGACGCTTGCCCCGCACCAACCCCTTGCCCAACACTCTTGGACACCAACTCTCCTTGGCTCCTCCCAGTCAGTTCTCGCCTGGCGCCCAAGGACAGCCAGAGTCCCCCCTGCTCAGCCCTGGTCTACCGCGTCAGACGTCTAAACCAAGGGCATGGGCCGCGGACCTGCATCCCTCGCCACGTGGCCCATGGGAGCTCAGGAGGACAGAGGGAGGAAGGAACGCTCAACACAGTGGCAGAGCTGGGTACACACCCTCAGCTGGCGGGAGAGCCCACCACTCCGAGGAAACCTCCTCAGGGAGGGACCACAGAAAACAGCCACACCCGCCCGATGGTTATTTGTAGCCATTCACGTTTAAAGGGCAAATGGCACTTCCATGAAAAAGGCGCTAATGCACACATACGCAGGTCCGCGTGCACATACGTGATGCCCCTGCAAGCCTGCCTATGTCTTCACATTTAATAGCTGTGTGGTTTGTTCATTGTGGAACAAAATTCAGTGACTTCCCAAGTCAATCCTCAGCAAACCTCCAAGGGAGATCACAGAGACATTTTTTGCATTATTCCTGTCTACAGAGTTACCTGCTCTAGAAGTTTCCGTGCGTGCAGTCACATATGCGGCCCTCATGTCTGGCTCCTCTCACCCCACATGATGTGCTCAAGGCCACCCCTGCTGAAGCCTGTATCAGTCCTACACTTATCTTCAAAAAGCTTCTGCAAGGTGTGTGTTATGAAAACACTATGAATGGGTATCCAAATACTCTGCACCAAAGTAAACTTATCTTTCAGCCCCATGTTCCCACAGACTTTCTCGAGCCGCTTTGGCCGCACAGCACGCTCAGGTCGCTCCCAGTTTTTGGTTAAGGTGAAGGGCACCCCGGCAGCACCTGTGGACCAGCGTCTGTACGCACGCGTGCCTCAAGGGTCCTCAGCGTGCACCGGGTGTGGAACGCAGGGCAGCAGGGTAACCCTGGCATTGACTCCCTGAGAACTGCCAGTGCACCCTCCGATTCCCAGGCAACGCCGAAGCCCAGGGAGGAAGCACAGACTTTCCCCTACAGCTGCCTGGGTTCAGCAGCGTTTGCTCAGCAGAGAGCGCAGAACGCCCGGCCTGCATGGGTGCTCAGTCAGCCCTCCCCGCCCCGCACCGGGCATCTTCCCCGGTACTAGGGGGCCCTCAGGAATCTACTGGAAAATGGGGACGTCAGAGACGCCAGCGCTGAGAGCTGTACCTGGGAGCATGCTCTGAGCAGACAGGTTCAAAGGGGCGCCCTATACTCCCGGACCCAAACCTTGCCCCTTCTTCTAGCACACAGCCACTCTCTCCTTAACACGGCCTTGGTCCGCCCACCGCCTGCACTCGCATTTGGATCCCAGCTTCATCTCACCACCAGGAGACTGGGCCGACCCTGGAGCACCTGGGCCCTGCCCTGACCAGCGCTCAGAGCCCCTGGCTACTACAGTGCTCCCTGGAGAACTCCTCCCAAGGCGCTGGGGCGAGGGCGGGTGGGATCTCAGAGCGTGGGGGCTCCAGCAGCAGAGCCTGACACCCACCCTCCGAAAGGGAAACCCAAGCTGTGTCTGACCTCGCGCAGGGACGCCAGCTCCCAAAAGACATTCCCAGGGCCAGAAACCCTTGGTGGAGAGGACAAGAGGGGTGCGAGAGGCTGGTGCCCGACTGGAGCAGCACCCCGCCGGCTTAGGCATCTCAGAGTTAGCCCAGCACTGCTGGTCTTGGCCCCGGGGAACCCGGAGCCCCGGGAGGCGGACGCGGGGCTCTGCGCGCAACCCACTGGGAGACTGAGGTCTCCTCCGGCCCCGGACACCAGCTTCAGCCCGGCCCCTACCCAGCCACAGATCCCGGTCCCGCTCACACCCGCCCACGTGCCCAGGTCCCTTCTCTTCCCGGCCTGAGCCCCGCGGGAGGACTCGGCAGGGATTCTAGGCCTCTCGCGGAGGGTGGGCCACTTCCCCTGCCCGCGCCAACTTTCCTGCGGAGTTCGGGAACCGGGGCGGAAGTCCTGGGCGATGGCGCACCGTGCCAAGGCCACAACGCGGGTGCCGGCCGCGCCGCTCGCCAGGGCCCCCTCCCGCACGCCCTCACCTGCCGGCCGCCGTGCGCTTGCGCTCCTCTCGCTCGGCGCCCTCCGCGGGTGCCTTCCGGAGCCGGCCGGCTCTAGCCCTGCTGGGCCGGGCGTGACTCAGCGCCCTTGGCGACGCCCCGGGCGGGTCCAGGACGCTGTGTCCCGCCCGGCCGCCTGGGGACCGGCCCTGAACGCGAGCGAGCAGCCTGAAAATGTGGAACAAACGCCCCCTAATGCTGGCGCCGCCCGAGGCTGCCCGAGCTCTGGAGCTAGCGGGAGCTGCCGGGAGCTCGGGTTTGCGGCTCCCGGCGCTGACTGGGGGACCTGGGCGCACCTGCAGAATAACTGGGCAAACCTGGCCAAACACCTGCTGTGCGCCGGCCGCTGCGCTAGGGGCTGGCGGGATAAAGGAGAAAAAGTCATGCTTTCTGCTTTCGTGGAGGTGAGAGCCTGGAGAAAGACAGATGTTCAACGCCACCAAAAACAGAATTAAAAAACAAAACAGGGGCCGGCGCTGTGGCGCAGGGGGTTAAAGCCCTGGCCTGAAGCGCCGGCATTCCATATGGGCACCGGTTCTAGTCCCGGCTGCTCCTCTTTCCAATCCAGCTCTCTGCTATGGCCTGGGAAAGCAGTAGATGGCTCAAGTCCTTGGGTCCCTGCACCACGTGGAAGACCCAGAAGAAGCTCCTGGCTCCTGGCTTCGGATCGGTGCAGCTGCAGCCATTGCGGCCATCTGGGGGGTGAACCAGCGGATGAAGACCTCTCTCTCTGTCTCTACCTCTCTCTGTGACTCTTTCAAATAAAATAAATAAACAAAAATAAATCTTTAAAAAAAAAAAAAAACGAGGAGCCAGAGAAGGGTGGGAAGAGCCCTCTCAGAGGAGGAAGAGTTGGCTGTGGGCCATGCAGGGGATGGGGAGGCTGCTGTTCTGGGTGTGCTGAGATGCGGAACAGGTGCAGGCTGCCAGGACTAAGCTACTTTGGATCCAGCCATCTTCATGGACTGGGGGCAAACGTTAGCACCTACCCGAGGAAAGTCTCACTGGGCGCACGTCTGTGAGGGATTTCAGCGCCGTGCTGGCACCCAGCAGCCCTGCACAGTCCACAGATACTTTGTGTTGCGGTCTGGTGCGCCCAGAGCCACACAGCCTGCTCCTCAGCAGCTCCCTCCCGCCCAGACCAGCTCTCTTCTGAATACTGCCCTTCACTGTCCAAGTTTTCTTGAGCAATTAAAAAAAAAAAAAAATCCCATCCCACTGGGATCCGGAACATCGTGACCAACTCCATCCCAAAGACGCTGGCGCCGGGGACCGTCTCCAGCTGGGAGGGAAGTCAGGGACCTCCCACAGCAGCCCAGTCTAGGGCCACACAGCCCAGCGCTCTGGAATCCTGTCTTCCTTTAGGGGCTTGCACCCTGCCCGTTCTGTGCCGGCTGAACAAAGGGTTGCGGTCAGGGCTGGGGGGTATCTGCTTTCTTGTCTAAGCCCCTGGGCTGAGAGAAACCAGAGCCGAAGTGCGCGTTCACACACTCTGTGGGCCCTGCCTGTCTTTGGCCGCTCTGGCAGGAAGCTATCTGGAGCCCACTGGCTGGATATGAAATCGTCCCCCTGCCGACCCTCCCCCCTTGCACCAGGCCTTGAATTTGTCCAGGGCTTTGCCGACCTCCAAATGTGTGTGTGTGTGTGTAGGAAAGGTAGACCACCAGAGAGAAAGGGGGGGAGGAGAGAGATCTGCCATCTCCAGTTCATTCTCCAAAGAGCTGCAATAGCCAGGGCTGGGCCAGACTGGTCTCCCACATGGGCAGCAGGGGCCCAAGTACCCGGGCCATCCCCCAGTGCTTTCCCAGGCACATCAGCAGGCACCTGGGTGGGAACTGGTGCAGCCAGGACTGGAACCGGTGCTTTGTAGGTGGGGAAATTGAGACTCCCACAGGCTAAGGAACTTGGGCCAAGTTCCTTACTGGTAAAGTGATAAAGTTCATAAAGTGCAGGAGCCGGAACCTGAACCTCCCCCGAGGGAACTGCAGGTCACTGAGCAGGAAAAGCCGAGGCTCCGTGATGGTGGCAAGCGGGCATGGGGATCTGGACGAGTGCCCGGTGACATGTGACAGAGAAGTGGACAGACACCACAGCCTGCCAGGGCACAGAGACAGCCCTGGGGCTTGCGCAGGGCAAGGAAGACCCCAGGTAGGAGCTGGGCCTGGCTGGATGAGAGGCTACCCCAGCAGGTGCGAGTGAAGGCAGATGAGGTGTGAGGTGGCTCCCCAGGGAGCTTGGCCAGGGCGTGTCGGGCTGGGGGACCCAGCTCTCAGGACCCTTCTCACACCATGAACATCAGTTTTCTCTCAACACCTGTGGGCACCAGAAGACACCTTGATCCAGGAGAGCAGACAGGGTCTCAGGCGACCCTGGGGCACCCCCTCCCAGGCCACTCATCACACATCACTCCTCCCATCCAGTGGTGCCCGTAGCTTTGCACCTGACCATCAAAGCTCCCTGCCTAACAAAGGTCTTTTGTCCTTGAATGTCCAGGTGCCAGAGGGGGTTGGACGGAGTGGGGGTTGGGAGGCTGAAACACTGGCAGGTTCATCCTGTTCCAGAGAACTGTGATGATTAATGCGACTGCAGCTAGATGGCCTGGTATCACAGAATCTAAAAGGAAGAAGAGTTGCTGGCCATCAGCCATCATGTGCTGGGCCAGGCCTGGAGCCATTCCCTGGTGTTCAGCAGGTGGCTTTCCTGCTGGCTCCCAGGGCTGGGGGAGCACCAAGGTACTGGGGTCAACTCAGGATCCCCACTGGAGGGAGCAGCACCCCTAAACTCTGAAGAGCCTGGGACACATGGTGCCTTCCCACATAGAGTTCCAGCTCAACGTGTAAGCCTCGGAGGACTGAGGGATAGCCTTCTTTCCCCTCCTCTCCCAGGACGCTCGGAACAGTGCTCCCAGCTAGAGACAGGCTTTGTTAGTGAGGGTGGGGTCTGCGGCTGTGACAGACCCCAGAATGAGCTCGAGTGGAGCTCAAAAGAAGAGAAGTGCCACTTGTGCTTGGGGCCAGTTCCAGGCAGTGAACTGGTTAACGAAGCTGCCCCCTTCTCCTGGTCATCGGAGGAGACCCGGAAGTGGAACACATGCCTTCCAAGGTCTTTTGGGGTTGCTTCCACTCCCTTCCTGGGGGAGGTGGTGGAGGGCGAGGGTGATTGCGCAGAAGCTGCCAGAGAGAAGGTTCTTAGAGGCCAGGCCTGGAGGTGCGGATGCTGCCCTTCACTCTCCTTCCTTCATGAGACTCATGGACGCTCCCAACTGCTCAGGAAGCAGAGAACCGTCTGCAGCAAGGGGCCAGCATGTCTCTGCCTTGGGGATCCAGGACTTCGGCCTCCCGGTTCCCTCCTGTCCCCCCCTGCTCTGGCCCTTCACTGCACCTGCTCCCACAGCTTCAACAGAGGCACCCGGCTGCACCCGCGGGCCAGACCTCAGTGTAGATCTTCTCCTAGCCTGGGTGGGGCCACCCTGCCCGCGGCCCCTCGGATGCAGGGAGGCGGCAAGGCATGAGATGAGTGGTCCAATCCGCTCTTTGTTCTCTTGGGCACTTAGGTAGGAAATCTGACCGTGGGCCATGTGATAAGGACAGCCAGACACCAAAGGTCATGGAGAGGAAGGTGAGAAAGATCTGCATGGCCAAATGTAAGCTACAGCAAGAAGGAAGGAGAGACGGGGTGAGATGCAGATAAGGATGTGGAGTCATCACCAATCCCTCGTGTCCTGTGGAGTATCCCCAGGTCAAGGAGCTGCCTGGCGCCTGCCTGGGGGTGTCTGAACATGAGTCCTACCTTGTTTAGGTCCAACGAGGGAGCCTATGCGCCCTGCTAGCCAGAAAGCAGCACTAAAGCAAGGCCAGCACAGAAGGGCCAGCCAGCTGTGTCCCAAGAGCAGTGCTCTCCACCTGGGACAAGGGCTTTGCTGAGAAGCACCTGCCCGCCAGGCACTGCATCCCGACCTTGCCCTTCTGGGTGGGACCAGGTTCTTGCCAGAGGAATGCGAGCAAGAGTGACAGGTGTTCGTGCTGGGCTGCAGCTTCCTTCCTCATCCTAATGAAGGAACAGGCGCGGCTCGGGCAGCAGGGTGGCCCGGGCAGGAACAGCACCAGAGCAGGCTGGCTGGGGCAGCCCCTTGAGGTCAGGAGACCGGCTGTGTGCAGGGTACAGAGCTAAGAGGCAAAAGTGTTGAGGAGAACGGGATCCTCTCTGACAGAGGGGGGTGATGAAAAGGTATGGGATCCAAACTGGAACTACTGGTGTGAATACCTGGCATATGACACAGAGAAAGAGAAATACACGTACCTGTGACGGTCTGCCCACTGAGGGGGCCTGGCGGCAGCAGCACCCCAGCACAGCAAGCACACCCACGGCCTTGACCTTGGCTTCTAAATACCCATCTCCACTGACAAGAACCCTGGAGAAACGGCAGAGTCCGGTGAAGGTACAAAGTAGCCGAGACGATTTTGTTGCACAGGAAGCGCTAAGAATGAGGGGGCGATGTACCCCCGCTGGCCAGGTACACGGCAAGTACAACATCAAAATAAATGCTAGCGGATTGTAACCCAGTGAATGACACACAAACAAGCGGAGATGATGCCACTTACAGAGGAACTCCACCTTATACACGCAGGGAGAACGACGGAAAGGGAAAATCACCTGCTGGCAACCAGTGCAGTCATTCAGACAGGAAACACCGATGGATGCTAGACGTACTTGGTGAGAGTGGAATAAGGAACAGTAAATTTACAGTCTCCAAGGACCCCCGCACTGGGGCCAGGACTGAGCTGCCACCGGTGACGCTGGCATCCTGTATCTGAGCCAGAGTCCAGGACGCAACAGGGCAAGTAGGCACACCTCCTGATCTCTCTGGAACAAAGAACGTCACAGGGACACTTGCTGAAATTAGATGGGGCCTCCAGGTGAAGAGCGTATAGGGAGTCGTGTAACTTCTCTGTGAGTCTGAAATGGCTGCAAAATAACTTGGGGGGCTGGCATTGTGGTGCAGAGGTTAAGCCACCACCTGTCGTGCCAGCATCCTGTACTGAAGCACCAGTTCAAGCTCCCGCTGCTCATCTTCCAATCCAGCTCCCTGCGGCTGCACCTGGGGAGGCAGCAGATGATGGCCCAAGTGCTTCATTTATTTGAAAAATAGTGTCGGGTGGGGGGGGGAGATAGAGATAGAGAGGGGGGGGAGGGAGGGATCTTATATCCATTGGTTCCCTCCCCAAATGCCTGCCATAGTCAGGTCTGGTCCAGGCTGAGGCCGGCAGCTCCAGCATCATCTCCCACATGGGTGGCCCCTGTCACCCACATGGGAGACCCGGATGAAGTTCCAGGCTCCTGGCTTCAGCCTGGCCCAGCCCCAGCCATTGCCTCCACTTGGGGAGGGAACCAGCAGATGGAAGACCTTTTTCTGTCTCCTGCTATCTCCATCGCTCCATCAAATAAATACAGAAATCTTTAAAATAATAAAAACAAGAAGCACGGATACCTTCTCCTTTCTCTCTTATCCCACTCACCAGCCAGTTACAGAGAACCTGGCAGAGGAGGCCGAGACCCCAGATGCAATGACGAGAGCCACAGAGGGAAGGAGCCTGGGTCCCTCAATCACTGTGCACTTCCCAGGGGCAGTACACACACTTCTGTCATCGTGGACCACGGGCCAGGCTGGGTGGGTGTCGTCTTTCTCTGCACTTTCATAGTCCATCCACCTCTCCACCTGAGGTCCCAGCACCTCCAGGAAACGTCATGCCCCAAACTCAGCTGCCCCACCCCACCCCGGCCAGAAGGCTGGGCACCAATGGACCGCTCTCTCTGCTTTCGCCCCACAAACAGTCAGTTCCAGCTCCTGCGTTGTCACTTGATCTTCCCACACCCACCAGACCCGCCTTAGCTGTCTTCTTCAGGGCCACATTGGCTGGTCCCGGGACCTTGGCCTTGTTCCTTTCCAATTTCTCTCTGCTTAGCACTCCCAGAACAAGCAAGTGGGTCCACGCTTCCTACCCCAGCTCCTGATGCTCTCAGCCTACGACTCCCCACCTGTTTGCAGTTCACTTGGTGAACACTGAACTCTCCTTTCTACAGTTCAGTGCCCAAGACACCTGGATGAAGCCTTGGTCACTGTGCCATCTGTTTATGCCAGGAAAAAAGCCTCCCAGGCCTTCCTCCCCGCAAAGCCAGACCTCACCTATAGCCTCCCACGGCTGCTAACTTACTATGCGACTTCAGGCTAACCTTGCCTTCTGGACACATTCCCAGTCAGTAAGGGCAAGAACATACACCATCATAGGACTGACCGCTGGTTACCCAGGGGTAGCACTTGCTAGGTGCTGGAAAAACAATACTCCAGGGCTCACACCCTACTTAGAATCAACCCCCAGCTACGCCCCAGTGGCATTCCACCTGCCTCGGACAATCATTTCTTGCAGGGCCCTGGACACACAGGTTGGTCTGGCCTTATTCACCTTTAAACTCCCCAACCTCCACCCGCCCGGGGTCCCAGCACAGACACCCGCACATCCTGGCTGCTGCTGCCAGGCCAAGACCACCGCCTCCCAGGAGCTGCAAGTCCCACACAGCACTGACAGCACACAACCGGCTTCAGGACTGAACTGGCAGGAGAGGACTCGGGGAGACCCTACCCTGCCCACGCACAGCACAGGCAAGGTGTGTCTCTCTGCCTGAGGCTTGCCTGTCCCAAATCAGCTCTCGAAAGAAAGAAAAAACAGAATCTGATGGACATGCAGAATTTCTCCAACAGAACGTGTTTATTCTAAAGGCCCAACCAAACACGTTCCAGCCACGATCCCTGAGACCCAGCTGGTGAGCCGGGAGGCGAAGGCACTGTCAGAGTGAAAGCGCCACAGCGCTGACCCTCCTGGGTCTGGGGGGTCAGAGGGCTCTGGCTTCCGCCCTTCCCCTCTCTGGTCTTCAGAGCAGGGCCTCCCCGCTCAGGTGTCCTGAGGCGGCCCGAGCCCCCTGTCAGCCCCGCCTCAGACCCAGGGGCAGACCCAGGGCAAGCAGCTGTGCCAGGTGGCCAGTACTTGGGTCCCTGACCAGTGGCTGCCTGCGGAGCAGACACAAACCCGGGGCACCGCCAGCCTTACGGTCAGCATCTGCGCCGCAGGCCTGGAGCTTGTGCGCAGTTGGACAGGGCTCCCCCAGCGAGAAAGTCGCACCACTTCATCACGTGCTGGAGACAGGAGGGAGAGCTCAGCCATGGACCCTCAGCAGGCTGCCTGGCCGGGGACCCACGAGGCGGGCCAGTCAGCTCCACGGCCCAGAGCCCACTGTCACCTCCTTACTTCTCGTGGCACAAACGGCTGCTTTGCTCCCCAGAGGGCGACGCGGCCTCAGAGCTTGCTGCGCGGGGGCTCGAGGGGCCGCTGCAGCCGCCACACCACCCTGACCGGCTCGGCAGCGTGGTCCAGCTCCCGGAAGCCGCCCAGGTCGCCGGTCTCACCGTACCGCTGCAGAGCCGGCTGGAGCAGCGTGATAGGGATGCTGAAGTTCAGGTGTGGGTAGGTGGCCCCCGTGGTGTTGTCTCGGGTGTTGCTGGCGACGATGCCTGTGAGGGTCGGAGGGCAGAGGACGTGAGCCAGGACCAGGGAGGGGAAGAGGACCAGCCCCTTCCTGGGACCCCCAGGGTCCTGCAAGTGCCACCTGCTGGGGTCACCCAACAGTGACTCCCTATTTCCTGCTACGTTAGTCAGAATTCTGTAGGAAGTCCTTTGCTCATCTCTACTTTAATCTTTGGGTGGGTTGGAACCCAGTACTCCATGGGTTTTGCTGTCTGGGTTGCTCCAATAGGAGCTCCCTTAGGCTGCCTCCCACTTGCCATGCCCCCATCTGATCTACTGTCAGCACGTCCTGTCTGACACAAAACGCTCCCAACTTATCTTGTTTATTTCCCTGCCCCAAGCTCAGAACCAGTAGGCTCGTAGGTCCTTTTTATTAGCAAATGGTATTTAGAAACCAACATCTGGGCTCTAGATGCATTCATTGCAATGTGGGTGTCACTGCTTCAGGGCCTTCTCAGGGGGCTGGGGTGGGCGTCAGGTGCAGCAGTTAAGTCGCTGCCTGGGGTCTCCACGTGCCACTTGAGCGCCGGGGTCAAGGGGTCAAGGCCCCACTCCACTTTCCACCAGCTTCCTGCTCAGGCACGTCCGGGGGAGCAGCACATGATGGCTCCAGTACTTGGGTCCCTGACCCCCGGCTTTGGCTGTTGCAGGCCTTTGGGGAATGAACAAGGGTACAGAAGGCATCTGTCTGTCCGTCTCTCAAAGAAAAAGAAAATAATTTTTAAAAATTTTAGAAAGAAATGACAAAGGCTAACACAAACCTGCGGTGCTGGACAGGGGCTAAAGGTTTCTGTGTGAACTCGGATTGCTTTCATCTGTACACACACAGATATCTGTGTGCACAGAGATGCAGCAATCCACTCAAGGAGAACACAAAAAGGGCCACACCTTCCTGTGCAATACCAGGGCACTTCAAAGTTCTCAAAGTCCATGTGGATTTTTTTTTTAAAGATTTATTTATTTATTTGAAATTCACAGTTACACACACACACAGAGAGAGAAAGAGAGAGAGAGAGAGAGGTCTTCCACCCCATGGTTCACTCCTCAGATGGCCCCAATGGCTGGAGCTGTGCTGATCTGAAGCCAGGAGCCAGGAGCTTCTTCTGGGTCTCCCACACAGGTGCAGGGGCCCAAGGACCTGGGCCATCCTCCACTGCTTTCCCAGGCCATAGCAGAGAGCTGGATCAGAAGTGGAGCAGCCAGGTCTCAAACCAGCGCCCATATGGGATGCCGGTGCTTCAGGCCAGGGTGTTAACCCACTGCGCCACAACACCGGCCCCCAGATTTCTCATAATACCTATTTTCCATCAACATTCTGAAGACCCCTTGGATGCATGGATTTCAAATTTTTTTGTGGGGGCTGGCGCCATGGTGCAGCAGGTAAAACTGCCACCTGCAGTGCCAGCATCCCATATAGGTGCTGGTTCAAGGTCCAGCTGCTCTACTTCCAATCCAACTCTCTGTTGTGGCCTGGGAAAGTAGTAAAAGTAGTAAAGGATGGCCCAACCATCAAAGAAGGAGGTACCTTTCTCTAAAGGGAGGAGAGAACTTCCACTTTGACTATGACCTTGTCTAAATAAGATGGAGTTTGTGAACTCAAGAGGCTTCCATTGCCTTGGCAGCTCATGACAAGAGCCTCGGGTGATTACTGATGTAATAAATAAGAGTGTCAATTGTTAAATCAACACCAAGAGTCACTGTGCACTTACTCCATGTAGGATCTCTGGCCTTAATGTGTTGTACTATGCAAATTAATGGTAAAACTAGTCTTCAAACAGTACTCTATACTTTGTGTGTCTGTGTGGGTGCAAACTGTTGAAATCTTTACTTAGTATATACTAAGTTGATTTTCTGTGTATCAAGATAATTAAAAATGAATCCTAATGAAGAATGGGATGGGAAAGGGAGTAGGAGATGGGATGGTTTGGAGGTGGGAGGGAGGTTATGGGGGTGGAAAAACTGCTATAATCCAAAAGTTGTGCTTTCGAAATTTATATTTATCAAATAAGTTTTCTTAAAAAAAGAAAGGAGAAGAAGATGGCCCAAGTCGTTGGGCCCCTGCACCCATGTGGGAGACCCGGAGGAAGCTCCTGGGCTCCTGGCTTCAGATCAGCTCAGCTCAGGCCATTGCAGCCATCTGGGAGTGAACCAGTGGATGGAAGACACCTCTCTCTCTCTCTCTCTCTCTGACTCTGCCTTTTTGCAACTCTGCCTTTCAAATAAATAAATCAATCTTTAAAAAATTTTTTGAGTATGTGTAACAGGTGAAGCCACACCTGCAACATTAGCATTCCATATGGGTGCCAGTTCATGTTCCAGCTGCTCCACTTCAGATCCAGCTCCCTGCTAATGCATCTGAGAAAGCAACGAAGGATGGTCCAAGTGCTTGGGCCCCCGCACCCATGTAGGAGACCCAGAGGAAGCCCTCGGCCCCTGGCTTTGGCCTGGCTCTTGAGGTCATCTAGGGAGTGAACCAGCGGTTGGAAGATCTCAGTCTTTCCCTCTCACTTAATTCTTTCAAATAAACAGATAACTCTTTTTAATGTAATTTTTTTACACCAAATAATCTTTTAATTCCACTTCCCATGAATGTCTGGAACTCCTGCATGTTAGGAGGTCAGCTGCATTCCTTGGCGGCCACAGTCCACTGAGGCTGAGTGGTGTTCCCCTGGTTGACCCCTGACCCGCCCTTCCACTCCCTCTTTCCTCACTTGCTCATGAATTTCACAGGTCAAACAAGACTGCGGTTCCACCATGGATCAGGCAGAGGGCCAGAGCCCAGATCCCGTCCCTCCCGGCTCAGCAGCTGGACAGCCTGGGACTAGGACCAGCAAACTCTGGGCCCAAGACAGGGGCCCTCCCAGGGCTGGACAGGGAGCATCCCCCAGGGGAGAGCCAAGGAGCTCCTTACCCAGGAGTCGCCCTGAGCGCGGGGAGAACAGAGGTCCCCCGCTGGAGCCGCCATGCACGGCACACGTGGTCTGCAGCATCACCGGTGTGTCATCCACTTGCACCACAGCCGACAGGATCCCCGAGGTCACTGAGGGCCCGCAAGCCTGGCCAAAGACGCCGTAGGCCACCACACTGACAGCCTCGCCTGCCGGGGAGGGAGAAGCTGGGGCCTCCTCTGTCCTGGCAGGAGGCACACGCCCGTGCCCACCCGTGCCACCCTCACCTCCAGAAAGCCTCTCCCAGGTCCCCCCACTGCTGGCCACGGGAGGAGGCCAGGAAGCAACTGAGCTCCTGGCACTGCGTCTGGTCAACTCTTCTCTGGGAGGCTGTGCCCAGTCTTGTGCCCTGGCTACACTGGCTGTCACTGGGGGTCCCCATGGAATTAGCACCCATCTCCTGGGACTACGACATCCCTGGTGGACGTGACGATGCGGGCACCTTCCTTTCCCAGGTGCGTTGACCCTGCAGGACAGGGCCTAGGGCCACGTGCTTAATAGGCAACACATCCCCTAGGCCTCACAGGGCCAGAAGGAGGGCACACTAGCCCCATTTCAGAGTTGTGGAAGCGGGGCAGAGAAGGCTTCAGCAGTCTGCCCAAGGTCACCAGTGGCAGAGGACAGATGCCAATCCACGCACTTGTACCCTCCATCACATCACACGGCTGCCACCATCTGGGTGTCTGGTACGTACGTGGCTGCATCACAGTCTGCTGCCCAAACCACACCACTGGAGCCACAAACGGGTCACCCACCTTTCTGACCACCTCAAGAGTTGGCTCCCCAAGCCCAGCACCCTGACCCCACATGGCTGCAGGTCCTGGGGAAAGGGGAAGCACTGTGGGGATGCCCGCCCATGCCGCCCTGATTCACTGATTCAGCCGTGGCGTGGAAGCGAGCCGGCCCCTGGTCCGGCAAGGTCAGAGGCCCAGCCCCTGGCGGGGCCCTTTGTCTGTCTTTACCTTCGCTGAAGCGCTCGGTGGGTACAGGCATGGCAATGCCGTCCAGGGCCTCCTCCAGGCTCACCACTGCTACGTCATAGGGAGAGGTCTCCTGGGTGGCAAACAGCACACGTCCCCAGACTGCCACAGTCCTGGGAGCGAGGGAGACAAACGACAGGCTTAGCTTTCTGACCCCTGGCTCTGGGGGAACTAGGAGTCGAGAGGGACGACAGCAGTCACGGAAGACCTGGTGTCAGCCCTGAAGCCGGCCGGCCAGGACGCTGTGGACGCAGCTCCTAGCCACTCTGTGGGGCTCAGACGCTTGCAAAGCGACCTGGACACCTGGCAGTGCGTGACGCAGGCATTCTCAGGTTCACAACCCTGCAAGTCAGGCACTGGTCTTATCTCTGTGAGATATCACAGCTGAGCCTCTGAGAGGTTCAGTAACTTCCAAAGGCTACAGAGCAAAGGGTAGGGGCACAGGCCAGGGTGCTTCCTCCCCTGGGTGGGGGGTGGGGGGACTCTGTGCCCACGTGCCAGCACACAAGCACCAGTCTCTGCTGCAGACCCTGTGTCAACTCACAGGGAGGCCGCTCGGACACAGTAAGTGGCTTGCCCAAAAGGACACAGGGCTGTCCTACCACACAGTCTGCAAGGGTAGTTTCCAGCAAGCCCGGGAGTTTCCCTAGGAGCAAAAAGCATGGTGGCAGCAAGGCCCCGGGGCTCACACCCCGAGGAAATCCACATCAGTCTCCCCCATCATTTACTGCTGCCCTGCAGGCTGCGAGCAGGACCGGGTGCCGACGCTCATGGGCTGGGCTCACCACGCCAGGCCAACCTCAGCAATTCACTAGAGGCGCACCAGCACCAAGGGGCTATCCCTCTGTGGGCTCGCCTGAGCTGGACACCTGGGGCCACAGAAGCAGCAGAACATACTAGAAAACCAAGCCAAGACAAACAGAGTTGCCGCCCCCACGGCGGGGCCTGGGGAAAGGAGAGGGGGGCAGAGGTGCCCTTCCCTGCAGGCAGTTGGACAGTGACTGTGACTGCGGCCAGTCCTAGCCCACCACGGGGCACGATCCAGCCCGCTGCCTGGCCCCCACCCTGCGTTCAGGACTGGGGAAACTTTCTTCTCCATCACTTGCCGGCCATACACAACCATCGACAACACTCAGCCTGCTGCAGGTGCATTGAGTTCCCAGCCCCACCTGCGGTTGCCCCGGCAGCTGCCACAAAGACACTGATTATGACGGGCTCAGCAAGGCCAGGCCTGGGTGCTAGAAGCGTGGCATCCTGCCCAAGCTGCCCTCGGCTTCACAGGGCTCCCGCGGAGGGTCCCGGGTGTCCACCCATGCTACCGAAGCACCGGCGCGCCGCCAGGGAAAGGGCCACACGACCCGCAGCCTTGCGGGGGCCTTACTTGGGAGCATCACAGCGCACCAGGACCCTGGAAGCCTCCCGAGGGGCTACGTGCCGGCAGGTCAGCACCAGGCGGGGTGCCACGGCCACTCCGGAACCCCACACGGCGCCGCACTCCACCAGCACGGCGGCGGCTGCCCACGACGGCTCGGGGCTTCGGAAGGGCAGGGCGCGCGGGGTGCCCAGCTCCGGCGGCAGGAAGGCGGCCAGGGCGGCCTCGCTGGGGCGCAGGCGGCCCAGCGCGGCGCGGGCGGCGCGGATGAGCGGGGCGGCGGCGCAGAGCAGCGTGAGGCCCACCCACTCGCGGGCCTTCCAGCATAGTGGCGCCGCCACCAGCGCCACGAGCGTCCCCGCCGGCCGCGCCGCGAACACGCCGCCGCCCTCGCTGCCCGGGAGGCAGCGCGCGTCGGTGAGCAGCAGCGGGCCGGCCGCGTTGCTGAGCACGCCGCGGCTCAGGGTGTTGAGAAAGATGTCCGGACAGAAGGCTCCGAACGGCGAGCCGCAGGCCAGCAGCGGCGCGCCTTTGGGCACCGCCCCCGGGGACGCCACGGCCACGGCCACGGCCGGCCCGCGCTCCGCCGCCGCCCCCGGGCCGGGCTGCACGCGCAGCAGCGCGAACCAGCCCAGCGCCCGCAGCTGATCCTCCTCGTCGTCTTCCGAGCCCTCGTCGTCCGGCGCCACACTCGCGAAGCGCCACTGCTCGCCCTCCGCGTCCCCGAAGAGGCGCTCGAAATGGGCCCGGAAGGCCGGGCAGCTCAGCAGCAGCAGCAGCTCGGCGGGGCGCGGGCACTGCAGGGGCCGGCCGCGGAGCCGGGCTGGCGGGCTGGGCTCCAGGCCGGCGCACTGCGGCGTGCACAGCCCCGGGCGGCCCTCGTCGGCGCGGCCGTTGGAATCCGCGGCCGTTGGCGCCCACTGCACGTGCAGGCGCAGGTCGTCGCCGCAGCTGTCGCCGGGCAGGAAGACGGCTTCGGCGGCGGCCAAGGCCTCACTGCCAGCCCGAAGGAAAGGCAGGAAGATGCCCCCATGGCACAGCACCAGGCCCGGGTTGCGGCTCAGGATCACCCCGCTGCAGCTCCACGATCCCGCCTCGGGCTGCTTGGCCCGGGAGGCGCTCACCACGCAGCCCACCTGCTCGGCTGCTCTCATGGCGAGTCCCCACTGCCGCCCCATGGCCTCGGGGGACCGAACACCCGGGACCCCGGCCCGCTGAAAGCCTCGCAGCGCCGCACACGGCCGCGAGCGACCCGCACAAGCACGGACTCGCGTCTTCCTCGTCGAGCTGGATTGGTTCAGCCCCAGCCGGCCCGAGCCGATTGGCTGCGGGTGAGCTGCTTTCCCCGCCCTCTTTGGGCCCATCCAATCCGTGGGAGCCGCTGTCACCGCGGGACGAGCTCCGGGAGAGTGACAGGCGTCACCGCGAGAAAGGCGGGTGGGCGGGTCCCTCCCTGCGTGTGCTGTCTCCCGTTTGCGGGAAAGAACAGAAACAAGCGCTGACGTGGCTGCACCTGCCCTGGTCGTGACAGGACCTTCAGCCTCTGACCCCGGCTAAGAAAACTGTGGGATTTTGAACGTAACCTCAACAGCAGTCCACTAAGTGTCATAGAATTCACAAAATTAACCTCCCCCGCCAAACCGAATTTCATGGAAAACACATTTGCTGTTCTAAACCAAATTGCCGGAGGCGGCTCCCGTCAGAAACCTGAACACAGCCCTGAATTTTGCAATATGCACGTTTCACACAATGACGTTCCCCACCAGCCCTGAGGATTCTACACAAGGCCAGAATGTTGATGGTGCCAGTTCTGCGGGCCATGCAAGCTGTCTCCAAGCCCAACTCTGCAGCTGTAGCGCACAAAAGCTAAAGGCAATAAAATAAAATAAAATCTTACACTGAAAGGTGAATTTCATGTCGCTTTCATGAGTCATAAAAAATAGTAAGTACTCTTAATGTTCTCCAACTTTTTAATAATGTATAGCCTTTCTCACGTCACAGGCCACGCAAACACAGGCAACGGGGGCAGAGTCAGCCCACGAGCCATAGCTCGCATCCGTCACCTAGGACAACTTAAAACTTGCCTACTTTTCCCAGCAAGTACCCTTTGGGTACAGAGAGACATGAAGGTGGATGTGTGGGGGCTTCACGATGCCCCCTCGGTGGCCACCATCAGCCCGGCACTTGGCGACTGGTGCATCCCAGGAGGCAGGACGCGGATCCTGATGCTCCTGGCGACACCCACCTGAGAATGCGCAATGGCGATCCACCGCAGCACGAACAGCACTAAGCCAAGCGCCTTCCAGGGGCAGGCACTGTCTTCTTTTGGTTTTACTGCCCCACTTCCTCGCAATCAAGACGTCGGAGTCCCTTCAAGCATGCACATCTACTGTGCGTCAGGTTTTGCTGTGCTGACGGCAGACCACAGCACAGAAGTCCCCGGTCACAGCCAGCAACAGTCAAGTCGAGACCCCTTGTGTGCATGTTCACGCTACCTCAAGCAGGACAAACGCCTCTGCCCGCAAGCCCACAGCATCCTTTCACAGGACAGCCTCTAAGAGCTCAATGCCTGTTGGGAAGACCTGGTTGCCTTTGGTTTGCCATTCTGTGTCCCAGTGGGTGAGTTTTGGAATCTCCCTTGGGGGTTTCAACAACAGAGCTTCCTACAAGCCTAATAACACACACACACACACAAGCAGACTCCTTCCCCTAGTTCACCAAATGCAGCATTCAACCGATTCTCTCCAGCTTTTTGTAAAACTGAGCTACACTGGGCTCAGCCCATGCTAGCACACTAATACAGGACTGCTCCTACACCGGCCCCCTGTCCACGGCGTGCTCCAGAGTGCTCACACCGCCCTACACTTGGTGCCTCTAGTGACCCACCTTTCGTTTTTATTCCTGGTAGCAGATTTCAAGTGTCTGACATCCCCGAATGTTTCTCCCCATATGTGGGGAAGAACCCCGGTTTTCCCTCCCCAAACTGATGACATGGTGTGTTCAGGCTCAACAAACCAAAGAAACAGGAAGTTTGTTTTAACTTTTTATTAAAATGTTAAGGATACAGATTGACTTTCTTTTGTAAATGACTGTTTTACTTTCCCTGAAATAGGACATATAAACACTCTGGTAAAACAGAATGAAAAGTCTCAATCGCGGGAGTTCCCGCACAAGGCTCTGATCCTGTTTTCAGCTATCTTATTACACGAATGCTGTTCTGTGGGGCGAGAAACAGACTGGACATCTACTTGGCTTTGCCATCTCCGCTTTCTCCAGTGGCCAAGATAAACCACTTTCACAAAGAGCTGACTTCCATGGTTCTCTGGCTTGCTACAAGTGATTGGGGGAAAACAAGAAAAAATAAAAACAAGAAAACTAACACTGAAGCAATCATACTTCCCATGTCTCTGAGTTGAGAAGTACAGGTAACCTTTAGCTAAAGGAAATCAAAAATATACAAGTTAACTACCTAGTTCATTCACCCTTAGCTATATTTGTTCACTTAAGGCTTTAACCCCTTTCCACACCAACAACTGTGTCTTAATCCAGCAATGCCTGGGAACGAATGAAACACATGCACTTCTGAGACTGACTCCCCCCAGCCTCTGCACTGGGCCCCAGCAGTGACAGCAGGCCTTCCCTGCAGGTCAGTGCTGAAGATAAAGAACAGGAAATCCAACTACAGAATGCTGCTCTCTCACCCAGAAACATGCTATCCGCATCCTCCCTACCCTCACACAAGGAGGAACCCACAGAATTTAGTTCAGTCCTTTGCAAATAAGCACCACCATCACAAAAAGTACCTCGACTCTTTTATTAAAGGAAAAATGCACACAGGCGCCCTCCGCTCCTGAGACCACCTCCTGTCCCTCCCTCTTCTACTGCAAGGGCAGAACACAGGTTAAGATCATGAATACCCACCCAACTGCACGCGTGGCACTGAGAAAATGGAACGCTATACAAACAGCCCTCATCCCACTTGGGGGATGCTGATGTCTGTACCCGGGGTGCTCACTGACACACGAGGCTGCCTATGAAGCAGCAGCCCAGAGGGCCCCTGGTTAGTGTTGTCCCCCGCTGATTTTGTGACATGAGAAAGGTAGTTTCATTCCAAACAAAAAAATCTGGAAAAGCTACAGATACTGACCTTTAAACAAACACCAAAAAAATAAAAATAAAATAACTGGTAAGAAGAAAAGATGTGAGCAAAAGAGCTCGTGCATAAAGGGACCAAATTCTGCAAGAGGAAATTTTAAAGCCCACTGAGTAAATCTTCCCTGGATTCAAACAAGTACTGTAAGACCAGAGTTTTAAGTCCTCAACTCACAGAATTAAGACCTCTTTAGCTATTAACTTTGTCATTCTGTTCAGAAAAATTTCCCCCAGAATCTGTGCAAAAGTAGCTGAGACACACCTGCAGTACATGACCACATGAGATGTTCTCAACTCTGAAATGAGGCTAAGTCACTTTATAACTGACAATGAAAAGATGCTATACAGAGAAATGAAATTTCACAATGGTATAAAAGCAAAGACGGCTGACATTTGTAACCTTGTAAGTAGAATAGTAACAACCCACCCTGCAATGCACTCTCCACAGTGAACAATGTCTATCCCCGGGTGAGGGACGCCACGACTGCGAGGCCAGGGTTCCCCCCTTTTCCACTCTCTGTGCACAAGGTGACGCCTCCGGCTACAAGGCGGTTATAGAGCCGGGGAGCTCAGGGGAGTGTCTCTCAGCAGCCTGCCAACTCAGCAGGAGTGGGGTCACCCAACTGAGCTCTGGCCTCTAATTGTATTGGTTCTGGTTCATAATTGAAGTATCTAAATGCCATTTACTAGTTTAAAAAAAAAAATAGAAAACTCTGGACCAAGAAAATTGTGAACTCAAAATAGTTAGGAGGGAGACCAATTACAATAACAACACTTTCTTTAAAAAATAGAATCACTTTCGCTCGAAATGCACCACAGTGGTGAGACGTGTTTTTCTTTTCCGGTGCCCCCGGGATGGCACACAGCTTCACTCCCCAGGATTCCGACCTGCACCAGTGCGTGGGCAGCGTCACCTCCCGACAGTGCGGAGAAGAGCACATGTCACCACTGGGCGATGGGAGCTGACAGAGACTCTTGGCTTCTCAACACCAGACATGGCTGGAGAGCTTTCCTTGATTTATTAGAAAAGTTCACGAGGAAGCTGTGAATAGGATCAGTCCAGAGAAGTAAAACTCGTTTATTTTCACTGTCCAAACATCAGTCAATGTACTGGGAGAGCCAGCGGAAGCCCTCGCCGTAGCCTTGCCTCTTGAGCACGCTGCACATGAACACTTCCATGGGGCGGGCGTTCAGTTCCTTCAGGGTCACGTTCCCCTAAAGCAGGCAAAACGAGAAAGGCCTGTTACCATCTCCACGGCAGAAAGCCTGAGAGGCGATCATCGGCACCAGTTTCCCTGCTCTTCAAAGCCGACCTAAGCAGCTGTGCGTTACAGGAATGTGGTCCGGCCCACGAGCCCTCCCAGGGCGTCGAGCTCTCAGGGCAGAACAGGCAGCACATTCCCACCCCGTGCCTGTCAATCTCTCCAGGGTGCATTCATCTGCAAAGTCAGTACCTCCCTGAGGCACTCAAGAGGTCTGGGACTGTTTAGAAAGGACAGAGTCACTGACATAGCACCCAGAAATACTGGTAATAGGCTATCCCGAGGAAATTAAAAGTCATGTGTCCTAACACTCAGGCAGAAGAGGGGAAGCTAAATGAACTATGGGAAGCATTTCTAGAAAAGATCAGGTAACCAAGAAGAGACAAGACTGAGGAACTAGGTAAAAAAGTGAGAGAGTTATCAAAGATGACAGAAAAGGAATGTTTCATTGAAGATGCCAAAACCCCAAGCTGAGAAGTTGAAAGGATTCCTGTGGAACTGGATCTGGTCTAGACTTCCTTTCTCACAAGCCTGTTTTCCTCTTTCAACAGGAGGAACCATAAACCCACATCGCTGGCCTACCGTGTAGACCTGAACAAATCACTCTGCTCCTCATCTGTGGAATGGGGTAACAGTCCTACTTCTCTCAGCAAGAAGCACTAAGTATAAAAAAATGGTTTAATTTCAGTGCTTGAAAAGTGATATGAATGACTACTCTTCTCTATAACCTGACCTCTCCTGTCCAGAATAAAACTGATCTGGGCTAATGGCTCCTTCAAAAAGCTTTCTCGGGGCTGGCACTGTGACACAGTAGATTAAGCCTCCACCTGAAGTGCCAGCATCCCATATGGCACTGGTTCAAGTCCCAGCTACTCCTCTTTTGATCCAGCTCTCTGCTATGGCCTGGAAAGGCAGTGGAAAATGGCCAAGTGCTTGGGCCCCTGCACCCCTGTGGGAGACCTGAAAGAAACTCCTGGCTTCATTTCGTCCCAGCTCCAGCTGTTAGGGCCATCTGGGGTGTGAACCAGCAGATGGAAGACCTCTCTATCTATAACTCTACCTCTCAAATAAATAAATAAATCTTAAAAAAAAAAAAAAAAGTGGCTCCATTAAAAAAAAGATTTCCCAGATACTCAGAAAACCCTCTAAAGAGAGACGTTGCCTTTTCTACCAACTCCTCAAATACTGAAGAAGCTAGATATCAGAAAATGGTTAAACAGCATGCCCCTGCCTTCAGCAAGGTCACAAAAATACCCAAAACAAAATAAATCCTAAGCCTGTTTAAACTTCTGAAAGAAGAGAATCAATATGGCAAAATAGGAGCCAGCATTTTGTGGTGCTGCGGGTTAAGCAGCTGCCTGTGATGCCAGCACCCCATTATCAGCACTAGTTCAAGTCCCAGCTGCTCTGCTTCCAATCCAGCTCCCTGCTCATGTGCCTGGGAGGTTAGCAGAAGGCGGCCCAAGTGCTTGGGACCTGGCCATCCATGTGGGAAACCGGGATGGAGTTTCTGGCTCCCGGCTTCTGGCCCAGACTGAGCATTGCAGTCATTTGGGGAGTGAACTGGCAGATGGAAAATAACCCTCCCTCCCTCCCTGTTTCTGTAATAAACAAACCTTTAAAAAAGTAATAAAAGATAGCAAGCCAGCAGTGCTTTAAAGTTGTGGACAGCACTCATGTGTCTCCTCAAGATTTTCCTCTTACCTTCCCAGTGGTCTGTCCGTAAAGCCCAAATATCTCACGGAGCTTTTCTTCACTGATAGCATCTGTTCTGTCAATTTTGTTGCCCAAGATAAGGATTGGCACATTGGATATTGTTTCATCAGTCATTAAAGCCTAAAGCCAAGATAAAATAAAAACAAAGTGAAACCTAGGAAGTCTATCAACAAGGAAAGCCAGCAGCTTCAGGTCTTATAAGGTGTGAAATGAAAGGTAGAAATAAGATCATCTTCACATCTGATTAAAGGCTTCTCTCTGACACCATGTAACACACCTTTACCATTTGGTAAAAAGCCCCTACCTGCCTCAAAAGTCACAGCTGAAGGCTGTCTGTTTCCGAGGCAACAGAACTACTCAGCCACAAACCACTCTCAGAACGGTCAGCACGGTCCTAGAAGAGTGCTCTGGCTGCAGACCCTCAAAGATGACTACAGGAAGGCTCCAAGGTTTACTGACTGCCCAACACACACAAAACACTGCCTCAGGCACTGAGACAGGAAACAAAGGGTAAGACCCATCCCTGTGGTCAAGTAACCCTCCCTCTTATGTTCACGCTTGTGTTCACAAAGCTTGGAAGGAAAACAGCACGGTGGATGACTGTCACGATGAGTGAGGACAGAATATTAATACTAAAGTAAGTTCAAATAAATACAATGGTGATTTGAGGCTTGAAGAAAGTCTCAGCAAAACTATGGAACCTAAAACTGGGCCTCCAGAGCAGGATTTGGATATGCGGAAAGGAGGAGGAGGAACATAACGTAAGC